CCATTATTAGTTTCAGAACATTATGTGCACTTTCAAAAAGCTATTTATTCAGTGATGAAAAGCAAACATTAGGATGTTACGGTTGTTTGGTCGAAGTAATCAACATGGTCATTCGAACAATGTAAGAAGACATGTAATTACGGGGCAGACTTACAAGCGCTTTAGGAAAAACGCATAAAATAAAAAAAACATTGTTTTAGGAGTGAACCTTACTTTACACTGTAAAAACGTAGAAATAAAAACTCAAGGTTGCCTAAACGAAATTTGTGAAACTTTTAATCACAGTCGACCTGTTTGGCGGGTTCAAGTGGAGTTTTGATGTAACCAAAATCTGATAGAATTGCTGACTTAATCTTTCCCATCAGAAAACCCTCTTTTGAGTCTGCTTGCTGTTACCTACATCTTAACTCTTCACCAATTACATTTGGTTCCATTTGCGCCATTCTTGTATAAGCGGACCTCTAGTTGAGATGCGGACAGTTTAGGTACTTTAGGTGCCGTAGGAATATCGAGCGTGTCTTGAGCTAATTGCAGGATAAATACTATTAATTCAAGGTCAACGTTGTATGATGACTATGTCCAGAAAAAGTAATTCTGGGATCATCTTTTAGTTTTCCTTTAGGATATGTCAGCCATGACTGCTACAAGGCCGGATCAATAATGCAGCCCGTCCTACATATAAGTCCTATAATTCTGATGATTGCTATTGCGCTACTACATCTTATATACTGGAAATCAACCAAAAATTCATACCCAGAGTAAGTCAGTTAATCGGTTAATAAATAATTAGGAATATTACTTGTTCTGTTCTAATTCATCACATAGTTAGGCAGGAAACTTCAGAGAACTGGTTTTAAATAAATCAGGTATCCTAAATGTAATTGCTTACTTGAATATAAGAAAAATTCACCTCATGAAATCTACATTTTCGGAAGAAAATTAATTCGTTTTTATTCCCTTTTCCGGAACTTTTTGTACAGGACTTTCGGATGATTGTTTCACAGACTTAAATGAAGGCGGCTACAATTCACAAAAACAAGCACATCAAACAAAGCGAATTCTTCTCTGTGGGGAAGTATTAGTGCGCTATTAGCTCAAAGCTTTGGTGCTCCCAGGCCTTGTCCTCATGTGTTCATACACTTGTGACGTTCCACTTGGATACCTAATGAAGCGTCTCGACGACGTTGAAGGAAACATGTTTATTACTCATGCTCGAACAGCGAGACAATGACAATACTAATGGATGAACATAGGACAAATGTTAATATTCCAAATTTGTCACGCTTCTAAATGAGCAACTTGGCGTGAACTAAGATCCGGAAAGTTGCATGATGAAAAATTCGTTCGAATGACGCAATGCTACTGAAATTACATAGTCGCACGAAAAAAATCGATCAGTTTTTCTCCACTTTAGAATATTTGTAAGTGTGTATAAGTCTGCGTAATATCCTGGATTGGGTTGCACGGGTAACTGGGATAAAATGGGAGAAATCAGAACTTTTGGCGTCCGAAAAGCTACCTGTCCATATCGGCACGTTTATGATCCTGAACAAATCACGATAGTTCTTTTATTTTTCACTACCTACTTACGGATATCATGTCTTTTGTGCTGCTAGCTATTTATTCACTCAATACTGGTCTTTGGGTGCTGCGAGAGCAAGAACTATCTGACCGAGTATACCCTGCAGCAAGAAAGTCGCCTTGTTGAAGTTTGACATGAGTTTATGTCCAGTTTGCGAAACGTTTCCCTTATTAGTATGTTTTGTTGGAATCTGAAGCCGAGGCAGTAAAGTTTTTCAAGCTGAAAAAAGTCCATCACCAGCATATGCAATTTCTTCAGTTAGAGCCGGGATAATAGATCCTAGTGATCGGACACTGCCCCAATATTCACGTGAATAATATTACGAGATAAAGCATAATTTCCACCTGCTATCTGCTGTCCTCGAAATGGGAGAATACACTACACACCACAGACGGCTTCATTGCTTTGTTTTAAAACAACCTTCGGCGAAATATAACATTTTTTGAATCCACGCAGGCGCGACTCGCCGCTAGTTTCTGTGATCCTATAGTCGTGTGAAAAAGTAGATTTGGAAGCAAAATATATGCACACTACTGTTAGTGAGAAATGTTTTTTTATGCCAAAATCCTTCGGGAATTTGCACGACATTTACGGTAAGCTTGTTTTAGGATTTCGAAAACGGCTGGAAATTTCTAGGCGTGACAAATCATGTGAACTCCACGTGCACAGTTTAATGGATAATACTTAGTATCACCGCAACTGGAGCATTTGTCCGTCTGGTAAGTGACTGCCGGCAGAATGTAAAAACTGTTATTTCACTGGTTAAAGCGTCCATATCACAGTTTACCATAAATATCATTTTATACTTTGAGCCTGTAAATCTTGTGGCAGGTAACTGCTTACATCAAAGCCAAATGACTCAAGTTGGACACTTTCTTCGAAGCAACCTACAGGCTAATTTATCCATTAATTGTGAATAATCTGATGCATCCCTATCTGTGCTGAAGATACGGGGAAGCCGGCACTATCGACTTCGAAGAAATTCGTCTGTAACTTAAAGGCTTTGCTTTCAGGGTGTAAAGTAACAGCTTTGTAATTGTGAGAAGAGTTCACCTATGTCCAACCATCTCGTTCTGAGTTGTACCTTCATACGGGACTAATAGAAGCTGAACCGACACACTGGACTTCATAGCGATGATAATTCTCATATTATATTTTGGGAATCTTCGTGTTTACTGCCAGAGCGAAAAAACAAATTCTAGCGCTCATATGTATCTACACCAAAAGGACTTTTAGTTTGGGACTTTAGTTTTGGGAAATTCGCACATTTAAATTTAATCATCATGTTTTCCGATGGAGCGTAAACTCTTGGATTAACGCAATAACTCTCTGACTAATAATCTTACAGGAAACCACTCAGTACGCCTGTTCTGGAGTGTACTCATAGAAGAGGCGAGACTCTACCGCGTAACAGGTAAAAATCGGATGCCTTGTAGTTGAGACCTCAGTCGTTTGGTGTTTGGGTTTTCGAAATTCGTACATAAAGTTATAGTCATATTGTCTTAGTTATCATGGCAAACAGTTGGAAGTAAATATAGACTACTTCGAATTATCGGTTTCTCGGATAATTTAGTTGGTCGTTGGTTGGTTGGCCATTGATTTGTCCGAGGGGATTGAGTGAAACTGCGTATTTCTATGAGTAGCCAACCGTAGTCATTATTTGATGCAGAGTTGACGGTTCCGAAAGCTTGAGATTTGTCGCCTGAAGATACGAATTCTTTGAGGGAATAATTATAAAATGCCCAGGGAGTTATTATTTGAGCTATATCCGTTAAAATCATCAAAAGACCACTAAATGCTTGTTCGTAATGCACCACTTATAAGTCTTTTTGAGGCTTCTCAGGTTGCTTGCTTTTTAGCATGAATGTCGTTTTCGGAGTTTCTCCGCTGGAACTTACTACTGAGCGAATTCCATCGTGCGGTGGCGCTTTGTGTACAAATTACCTCATATTCGCGTTTAGTCTCTAACGGAAATGTACCAACAGCTTGAGAATATTCACCCTGAGCGCAGGGTAAATGAGTATATTATAGGTTCTAGCTGCATTTAAGGATTTCTCACTGGGATGTGCTTACTCTGTGACGTTCCGAGAAGAACAACAATAAAGACCATTAGCGCCTACCAAAGAGCACTCCGGTGAAAAACAACAATTTTCTGAAGCAGTCTCTTTGTACAGCAATCATGACACGACAAATACTTGTGAAATATCTTAATTTGAAATAGCGCTCTTGTGTATGATCTCGTAATCGCCTACTGGCAGATCAAGAGTGACCACCAGTAAGAACAGATGAACAAAACTGATTAAGGGGACTATTCATACGAGCCGGCTGGTTGAACCAGTATTTAAGGTATAAAATGCAGTTTCTGTGACAGATGACTTTAAAAACCGGCACATCACTTTATTCAAACCTAGTGTGGTCTACTAGGAGAGAAATTAGACAGGTGCGTTTTCAGTGATATCTTAGAACCAGGCTTCTGTGATGGTGAGGTCGTTTTGCTACTTCTTTCAGAGAGGGTTCAGTAATCGCATTTGTGCAAATAATTCGGTTTCCGTGCGCTGAAGAAGGGATGCTTCATCCTTTGACCCGGCTGGCTAGAGAGTAACAGACACCAAATGTATGGCATCGTTTTTCATGTCTAAAGAAAACTATTTCGCCTAAGATTGTTGCCCCGAATGAGACGGCACACTCTCAACCGGCTGCGCTACCGCAACATGCAAATGTGGTTGTCGCCTTGATGGGGAAAACCTCACTGTCTGATTAGCTGATGGATGTCATGTGGTGGTCGCACATACAGCGTTGGGGCGAATCGACGATAGTTGGTCAAGGATGGTAGCAGTGGGCACAACAGTGGCAGAGAAAGCAGCATGAGGAAAATAATGAGATATGCTAATTCGTTTCTGATACAATTCGGACATGTGGTGTTAAGTGTCCCAGTAACCTTCAAGAAGACTGGGGCATTTGGTTCATTAATTCCTTTTCTATGACAGAAGGAGATTGTCCTCTGTTTCAGACGTTACCCAACTAGAATCCGACCAACGACAAGTCATCAGTGTACACGATGCATGCAGAGGACTGCTAAGGATGCTTGAGCCTAAATGTTAGCGAGATGTGAAAGATACACTTATTTAGATACATAAGCCAACAACCCGGTGAAGTAATACCTTGAAAATTTAGTCGGCGTGACAAAAATCCATAGGTAATTCAACGGTGCTACCAATTTATTTTGGGTTATTGATTGCTGACAAGCATGTCTACAAATATAGAATGAATTCTTTCCCCAGAGAGCGGTCGCCATGTCAGAAGCCAAGATTTTGATATTTTCTACTTCCTCGAGATCATTGTAAGTGGTTTCTATCTATTTCACCGTGCTTTTTAGGTAGACTAGAATGGGTTGACGGTTTTTGGGAATTATTTGCAGCTCCCCAAAGTTTCTAAACCGGATGACACAAGGGCGGGTTTGTCCACTCCACCAGGTCAACACCGTCATCCGGAGCACAAAGATGCTCAACCGTCAACTTCCAAAAGCATCTATTCTTCGCGGATTTTCAGCACTCTAAAACCAGGTTCTGCAAAAGGTAGGAAAGCAGGGACATACGATAGGCCAGTGTACAGACCGAAGGACTCAGCTTTACCGTAAGGCATATTACATACATTAGGTGTAGAAAGTGTTCATTTTAAGGTCAAAGTAAACCACTGCTTCTTCAAAATCCCCTTAAGCTTACAGGTCGATATTAATCACGTGCAAAAGTGGCTTCCTTTAGACTAGTTTGATTGTCTGAAAGCGCATCTGTGTAAGCCGGCGCATTTCAGATCCACAGCTCTATACTCTGTTTATGGCTAGTCTACAGGAAGGTCGAAGTCCCTGGTGTGCAGTCCTACTGACGGTAACACTGGTTAACTAAGGCCTGAAACCCTAGCATACTTAGTTCCAACGGATTGTTATCATGCATCTGAATAGAAATCTCGATCGTGAACCATGAATCTGCACCCTGAGTATGTGCCAGGTTATCAAGCTTTGTCAGAATGCCATTCACCAAGGCATCTTCCTACAGAAGTTTTTGATCCACTGCTTCGGGATCAACCTAAAAGTGGACGCAGCAAACAATTACGGGCTGTTGATACTCATAGCCATAAATGTTTGGTTTTTTTCAGAACAACGCGCCAAAAATATCAAGGGTTTGCTTAGGTGAAAAACACCCAAGAAAAATTGCGGCAGTTTTTTTACATATCCCTTGGTAGTTTTCACACCTGGTTATCTCACTATCCAAAATAATGGAACAACAAAGTTGAGGAATGATAATTCTTTAGACCGTTCTTATTTTCCTACGCTTCTTGGTACAGTTGGTGTCACTTAGATTTTAAAATTTTTTCCGCAAGGACGTCTATACCAGGACGTCCCACCTGTACTGGTGCGGAATCACGTTTTGCCCCAGTTAACCTCATTCAAAATGACCACCTACAGGAACTGATACTTAGTGATCTGTGTTGTTGATAATTTAGTCTATCTTAGTTGCTTTGGTTATGATTGGGCACAATTTTCCAATCCATTTTTACCCTGGTCTAAGGAACAAACGGTTATATTTACCGAATTGGTCTGGCTATTAACCAACGTTCTGCAGTACTGTTTCAAGAATATCTTCCTTCAAGTCGCTCACAACCAATTCATATGTACACCTATTCAAATCCATATGCTGCACCATTTAATTTTCAAACTTTCTGTGACCCCATATTTGTTTTTTATGTGTAAAAAGCAAAACAAACAATGCTTTTATTAGATTTCTACAATGTTTCGCTTGGAATTTCTGTGTGGTTCAAGAAGATGGTTGGATGAAGCAAAGATGCTGAGGCTAGTCTTCGTTTCATCAAAGCTCCAGAAAAGAGGTATTCAAAATGACTAGCGACCAAAAAGTACACAATGATGGAGCAAGCTTAAATACTGAATCGGTCTAGAATTACGTTACAGGCAGACGAACTTTATGTCATTAGTTGGATGAGTATTAATTGCCTTGGCGAGGGAGTTAATTTTGCATTGCTAAAAATACATAGTGTTGATTATTTTTCTAACAAGTAGAACGACGTGGCAAAAGTTTACTTTTATATTTCTGCATCCTAAAATGAGGGAGATAAATCGAACGAAAGTAGACTACGCTAACAACTTGTTAGACCAATCGTTATGCTTTTTAATTAGCACAAACTTGTCGTCCAAAAACGATCGGGTAACGCAAAATTCTACGGTCAACAGTCTGAAATGGTTCATCCGTAGATATGATGACCGATTCCCTCTATATTCATTTTAATAATCCCACTTAGCGAAATGTACCCCATGTGGTTGAACTGTTTGAAAGTATACTATAAGTTTCGCACAAATGAGAAATTCATAGACTGTCACCGGAAAACGAGTAGTTTTTGCGGTCTTGAAAGACGTATAATTAGACACGAATAAATGCCACGGCTGTTTCACTCCTGAGAGACTATTTCAGTGGAATGACCAGAAAAAACTCTCTGGCAGAAATTTTTTGGAAAATATTTCATGCCTCCTATATTAATCTGTCTTTTCTCCGGAGGGTTTATCAGCAAACTTATCGAATTGTGATATCTGTTGCCAAATTTTTGAAATGCAACTTAAATACACTTCCAATCAAGCTAATAAAGTTCAAAGGTTGCGATCAAAACAAAACGATTCTTTCAAACAATTCACGTCTTGCGAGGAGCGGACGGAGAAACAGGTGGATAACATTGCCTTACTCTCCCGCATGGATTATTCATGATTTTTACCTTAAATTAGAAGCTGTAATGAGCAAAAGATTTGGACTCATTTAATTTTCACAGACCATTACTCCATTGAATATATGTACCTTTCATTGGATAATTCTGTGTGAAAAGCGATTACGACGGACTATGAAATAAGATGGTTCTTTTTGGGAACCAAAATCTTTCCTCAAAGAAAGTGACTTAAAGATTGTCTCATTCTAAGTTTCCATACGAGTCAGTAGGAGAAGAACCCTTGAAAGTAAATTTTAAGGCAGCTTTATTATGACATTTACATAAAATGATTCTAGATCATTTTACTCGATATATTCGTCCGAACACTGAATGTCAACTGTGGATTCTGAACTTTATTCAATGTTCTCAGATCTATTAAGATGGTTTTTTTGTGCATGTTGTATTGCTGAGGAACAGTCACTCGGTTTTCGTCCAAAAAGCGAAACATCTTCACGAACCTTACCTCATTCCCACGCAGTGGTGACAGGGTCTTGTGTCAAGACTCATCTTTGTATTCTCACACAGGCTGTTCGCTCAGCAGTGGAGTTGGACCTGATATGGGACAAGAAATTGTCTTTGAGAAAACAACTCTATCTTTTTCGGATATAGCTGTTTCTACTTAAATAACCATACAGCAGTGATCGAGCAAAGCATCTTTTCGTGCACACTTTCCTGTTCTAGAAAGACAAATCTGTATTGTAGGATCGCTTCAAGGTAAGTATCATTACCTCCGTTTTAATGGATTTGTGAGATAGTTATCTAGATTCACACAACTATTACGTTCTTTTAATTCTTCTACTAGAACTGAATTAGCTAAAAACCCTGTGTGCCGTTCGCGGTTATTAGAATCTTCAGAAGTGGCTGGGTTATTTAAAATTACTTTGAAAATCTGATTTTGAGGATTGCATGGGTTTCATATTTGCCTTGTCATGTTGTTTCCTTTTTTTTAATTCAGCGTGCTCCAAGGTCTTTTTCATCAAAGCCTTGGTTTGTGACAGGCTTTTGCCTTTATGCTACATGGAAAGGAATAGTCTATTATACTTATTAAAGTAAAGAAAAACGTGTTCTTTGTTCGTTACTGAAATTAAACCAAACATTGAGATAGCCACGTGGCAGCTCTAGAAAGTGAAAATGATGACTGACTGGAGATTATTCCCGTCATATTCAGTACATCCGTTCAGTGTTATCGCATTTCATTTGTCAACGGAAACTTATCGGTTAGAGATAATTACAAGATAACCGATCTACTAAACTTCAAAAACCAGGTTTTGAGGCTGATTTGAGTGATAAATTTACCATACAAGGAGTTAGTATTTTGTCCCTTTTTGACTGGCATGCTAAACACTTAAGCCGAGATGGTTTTGTCACATACGGGACAGGGCGCATAGCCAGTCCTGGAAAGGAAACCTTTTCACTTGGTCAGACCTTCGCCATGTCCCACGCATTTCTGTTCTGAAGCCTTCTGGGACTCTTTCATCTTCCTCCAGGATACTTATCAATTTACACAGTCCTGTCTGTATACCGTCGCGCGATGTAAAGCGGTCGGTTGATTTTTCTAGGCTGCTGTAAATCAGCTGCTCCCCCATAAAGTTGTCGACCAAATAAATCTATTTTTGATAACTTCACCGACCACTTGTTTCGACTCTTCTAGAGTGTGATCCTTCAGACCACTTTTGAGATGGCTTCGTGAATGCTGATTGCTGCTCGGCTTACAATATCAACTAAAGATGTGATTTTCCGCAATCTCTATTTTTCCACGTCCTCGTTGCCTTGATATGTTTTGAACGGCTGCTTCAAATTTACCTTTGAGATTTGTTGTTCAATTAAAACCCTAGTTTTTCAACCCTGCTAGCAATTTGTTCTTAATGCGATGAACAAATATGAGAGTCGTCATAAATTCGTGACCCCTCGAACTTATGCAGCTTACCAGCCTTAAGGAGGCAGAAATTTAACGCTTGAGGGAGATTTACAGTAACTCATTGCTGTAGAGCAAAAGTGCTGGTAAATGACCTCAGATTTTTCCGTTTCTTACAACGAGTCTAGCGATTAACCAACCCAGCAACGAAATTACTTGCACGACATTCCAACTAATACTCTTGGGTGTTTGTGCGAGAAAATTTTGTGGAAATCGTCATGAGGACACACAAGGGCTGCTTAAAATAGACTCGGACAAGACTCTTGTTTTTGATCTGGCAAAAACTCCTCTCATCCATCTGGTGTACAGATGCTTCCATCAAACGGATATCATAAGGAGTACTCGCTATTAAATACACAAGTACTGACAGACAGAACGACCAACTGCAAAATTCAAAATTTCCTGTATGTACATGTTTCCAAGTTACTTTACGGCGTGTTTCAGTGTTTCATCAACTGTATATCAAAAGCTATACCAGTTTGCTCTTCAACAGTGTAGCAAACAGTTTTTGGATTTAGGGTTGGACGAGAGTTCGCTTCTGACCTGTCCCATTTGCTAAGCCGAGTGAATTCTGAAGCTGATAAAAGGCGATTCGGTAAAACCTGTATCAAATAGTGCAACAACACACTTTTGAATGCCTACTTAATTTTTTTGTTTAGTCTTGATGATCAACTATTACGACAGATGGGTAGGGGTGAGTCATCTTTAGCATCGAGTTGGGTTCGGGTGGAGGCACCCTTCTCCAGGTCAGGGCGCTTTAGCTGGTGATTGCTCCTAGGCTTACTCTGAAAATTCTGCAATCTGGTTCTTTCACTGACCACCGAGTTTGAATTCGTATAATTTTTGATGCTATACACTCGGTGCCTCAACTGTAAACAGAAAGACCAAAGATGCACT